ACCACCTAACACCCAACAGACAACACAGAACAAACAACAGACAACAAGCAAGAAGCAAGAAGCACTAAGCAACAAACAGCAAACAACAAACACCAACCAACAAGCAACAAACAACAAGCAACAACAACAATGGCCGGCCGTGACGTTAACGCGCGCCCACAGCGCACGCCGCTGCAAAACCCTCATTTGCGACTGGCAGGCGCAGCACATCCTTGGCCAGGTCCGTTTGGGGGTGGTTGACAAACTTATGCCTGAGCAGGATAGGGACGTGTAGAAAGTACTGCGCAGGCCATTCACGCAGGTTTCGTACTGCGCAGGCCAGCGATTTCGCACAGCCGAACGCGGAATTCATTGGAAAATGCGCACTTTTACGCTAAGGCATAGAGCCCGAAAAAGCAGGCACCTGAACATTCAGGCCGAACATCCAAGATCTTGCTACCAGTAAAGCCGGCGGGTGCGCGTGAGCGGGTGTTCATATTAGGTGGCAAGCGTGGATACAGTGCCGAGCGGGTGCGCGTGAGCGGGTGTTCTTATTAGGTGGCAAGCGTGGATACAGTGCCGAGCAGGTGCGCGTGAGCGGGTGTTCTTATTAGGTGGCAAGCGTGGATACAGTGCCGAGCGGGTGCGCGTGAGCGGGTGTTCTTATTAGGTGTCCGAAGTGTCACGACTACGTGTCACGACTACGTGCAAATACCACACGAAACGCTGTTTCTGGCTGGTGAGATGTCCGAAGTGCCACGCAGGCCACACGAAACGCGACGCTCAAGGAGGCTGCAAACACACGTGGCGGGGGCGCACCCCATCACTGACGAATACCATACCAAAAGCTGTTTTTTGAGCAGCGATGTGTCCGAAGTGCCACGCAGGCCACGCGAAAAGCTACGTCAGCGAATGGTGAAATCGCGCGTTTACGTAACGTCGGAGCCAACAACAACAACCACAACAACAACAACAACAACAACTACGGTCCGCGCTGGGATAATGCCGCGGCCGTAACCAACTCAAAAGTGACAACGTGTGTTTCCATTGGTTTTCCCATGCATTTCACGTTTCGTGTCTAACAAGCGCTCCATTTCCCAGGGCGCTTTTTTTGGTTTGAAACAGCGTCTCCAACGACAGTTCCACGTATTTTTTGTTTTTGTGTTGTTTTAGGAATCCTTCCCCGCAGCACGTTCTTGCTTGAAGCTCAGTTTCGTACTTGTTTTTACCATGCATTTATGCGGTGTCTGAAACATAGCCCGCTTCGTGTTTACATGGCTAGTGGTTCTTTTTCATCACCGTCGACACGGGGGGTCCAGGCAATGGCTGCAAGAAAAAGAGCTAACCGGTGCGCTTACCATTTGGCATGCGTGGATACAGTCCTGTAGCGGGTGCGCTTGAGCGGGTGTGCTTAGCATTTGGCATGCGTGGATACAGCTCAGCAGGTGCACTTGAGCTGGTGCGCTTACCATTTGGCATGCGCGGATACAGTTCTAAGCGTGTGTGCTTGCCTTTTGGCACGCGTGGATACGTTTCTGAGCGGGTGCACTTGAGCGGGCGTGCGTACCATTTGGCCTATTTGGCACGCGCGGACGCAGTTAACGGCAAATGCCCGGTAAACAACAGTGGATTCAGCGAGGCGAGTGTGGTTCCACGGCAAATGACGGTTTTTCTCCCACTTCAACATTGGCTACGCCGGGAAGCACTAAATGCTGCGGGCCCCAGTGAATCATAGCGAGCAGACCCAACAGTACTTGTATTTACTGTACATTTGCGCACGAAGAACTGCGGCGTTACGTCCGTGCGGATGGAACAACAACAACAACAACAACAACAACAACAACAACAACAACAACAACAATCTGGCCTGTCTCTAAGAGGTGGAGATGGGCCCCAGCAAGGTTCGCAAGGAAGCATGCGATCATATTCCCTAAGAAGCTAGAAACCCATGAAGGGTGGTGTAGGGACTCTTCTTGTGTTCAACACTGGCGAGATTCACCAGGGAAGCTGGAAGACGGAAATCCCCAGGCGTTGCCGTTTTCTTGGCGCTCCAAGTTTCACGGCTGTAACCCTGAAAGGGTCAGGCCACAGCCATGAGCCACATGTGGTCAGTCGCGTCTTGCGATGTGTCACCCTTTGCCCGGACCCGGGAAGATTCTAGCCCAAGAGGAAAAGTGCGGGGAATTTTGCGGATTTTGCGAATTCTACATGTGTTTCTCTAACATCATCTAGAGCTGGCCTGGTATGGATGCTGTCATGGGGAGATGTTGTTTAGGCCAACGATTGTCCGCACCTTTCAAAGAATCATACGCTGAGCGACTTCATCCATGCCGTCTGGCAATTTTACGCGTCACCTGTTGGTTGGCAGATGTTGCCAGTCAAGAGCGCGCTTCTTTCTGGGTGATACTTCTAGAGAATACTCTACAATAGCTCTGGATTCTGATTGAAATGCAAGCCCCTCATCACTTCCCCCAGCCTTTGTGCGGCTCAAGCCATTCGGAGTCCGCGGGAGTTGGCCATGAACAAAGGTGTCTACGGCCTTCTGGGAGACAGCTCTCTCTTTTGCAAGAAGAGCAATGGCCACCTGGCCACTTACGGGAGCGTTTCCAGGTATGGATTTTCGATGGAATTTGCTGACTTTACCACCGAGACAAGGCGAACCTCCATTCCTCCAAACCCCATCCCTGGAAAAGCCCTTGATGAAAACTTGTCTGACACGTGGTTTCACCGGCCGAAGGTATGGGGCTCAGAGAGCCGAACAGGCCACAAGTTTCGTCCCAACATGGGCCCATCTGTTTAACTCCATGTTTTCCAGTTTCGGGCTGTTTGCAGCCCATAGAACCAACCAGAGACTCAGAAAGTGTCAAGAACCTTCCAATTCTTGAGTGGTCTCCCTAAGAGGTGCTTGCTTTCCCATGGACTACTTGGCTGTTTGTCGCCCTTGCAAACAACCTCAGGGTTGCTTCGTTTCACCGAAACGATCCGCTCAAGTATATTCCCCAGTTTTTTAGGCATGGGTTTGTCGATCTTTGTGGGTCCCCTGGCTTGCCCTATTGTTGCTACACTCCTTAGCATTCGCGGGAATGTGTGCCACTCATGTGTGAAAAAGGCAAAAAACACTGGCAAACATACCGCAAAACATGCCTATGGACTGGACCCTCGCGCCCACCAAGAGTCAACCATAGTCGTTGGCTAAACAAAAAACGCCCCAACGAAAGACACACCCACATGTTTGTGTTTAGGAAAGAAGGCGGAGCTGAAAGGCTCTCTGAGCTGGAAACTTTATCCTGGCGACTTGCACTTGCAGTACCAAGGACTGAACCCAGATGGTTTGGATTGGGGGGGTGCGGGGCGGGTTTTTGGAAGGGAGGGAAGGTGCTAGTCCTTCAAGATCTGCTGTCAGTTGGGTTCCGTTCGGCATTCATCGTTGACGACAGCATCATCGATCGCCAGGTACAGGACAAAATCTCGGGCATCCACATCAAGCTTCGTAGGAAGCCACCGGCCAACGATTTGTTCAGGCCAGTCGGATTTCTTGAGGATTGTGTGGCCCATTGGCCGGAGTGCGCCACAAGGTGCAAGCAGGCATTGCGTCAGTAGCTTTTCCTGTCCGACCAATTTCAAGAAGCAATGGAGCCGTCAGAAATAGTTCCAGCTGCTCAGGGATCTGCACAGATGTTTTCACCCCCGCAGGTCGCAGACTCCAGTAATAGTAATGAAGACACTAGCATGTCCACGGCATCATCCCAACCGATGGGTAGTAGGATCAACATGCAAAGTGCTCAGTTGCAGCAGCATCATCACTTCTCACCAAATGTTGAAATGCACGCTCAGGCTCATCATACCCAAGTGTACCAGCCGACCATGGTTGTTCAATCTTTGGATCAACAACTGGTCGAAAGAGCTGAAGCGCATTTGAGAGAGAATGATAGAAGGGTGATTGTCACTGAAGCCCAAGCTCAATGCTTAATGGCCGAGGCTAGGGATAGGGTAAATCAATTGGAAAGCCAATCCTTCAATCAAGTTCATGCCCTTCAGGAATCACTTGAAAGGACCAAGCATGAGTCGGGGGACCAATTGAGACAAGCCCAGGAGCGAGTCCTTTATTTGGAATCACAAGCAAATGCACAGGTTCAGGCACTCCAAGAAGCCTTGACGAGGACCCAGCATGGCACAAGTGACCAAATTAAGGAACACCAGCTTAGGGAGGCCGAAGCAACGCAGAGGGCGCAACAGTTGGCAGACCGGCTGTTAGCAATGGAGCAAAGGCTGAATTCTCTAGAAGCCGAAAATCAATCCTTAAAGAAGGAATTGGCATGCATCCATAATGGCGCGGATAATCCGCCACTGCAGGCGAGTGGGCATCCTGCTGTGATGCCTTCGGGCACCAGCCAGCCAGTGCAGGACGGGCCCGTGATGCCGCAGGGCGCCGGAAACCCTCAACCAATAGTGCTGGCTCACATCAGGCAAGCCCCGTGATGCCTCAGGGCACCGGAATCAGTGCACAAGATGTTTCATCATGGGCCCATTCAGGGGTTGTGAGAAACATTTTTGGGGATGCTTCTCCAGTTGCACCGAACCCGGGATTAAGTGCAGTGGAAAGGCGTTTGGATCAACTCACATCAGCCTTTGAGCTATTTGCATCCCAGACTGCCGCCGCTCAACCTGTGCCGCAAATTCATCAGGCAGGAACAGGGCAAGCCCCTCAGATTTTCAACATAGGATCTGTGGGAGGGCAGTCAAGGGGTGGATCACAGAATGGCTCACAGCATGATTCCAATCCTGGATCGCCAGATCACTCGGATAGCTCATCAAGCGAATCCAACAAGGGTGGAGGCGGTGGGAGGCCAGGGGGTTCGCCAGGAGGTTTGCAAAGACCTCCTCAGGGCCCCTCAATTCCTTCTCAAGGAAATCCGGGAATGGCCTAAATTGACGGGGCAATCGATGCCTACTCAAGGGAAAAGAAACTCATGCGTGTGAAGGCATGTGATGAGATGAAGTTGCCTCAGCTGCCCAAAACTGCGGCAGACGCTCGCCTATTCAGGAACTCGGCTTTCAACCTTGTGTGTAGGCTTGCAAAGGGTGACGAATCCTTAGTGCATAGCTGGATCGCCGAAAGCACAAATCCCAAGGCCGATCTCGAGTCGAGCCTTCCGTTCCCAATTCTTGATCGAGCGCTGGGTTCAAAACTGCTTGAGCTGTCGAAGAACACCAAGTTTGCAATGCTTTTTCAATCCATTCAGGAGCAAGAGCAACGAGTCTTCAAGCAGCCAAAGGGGCGGAAGTTGTTGTGGGTCATCTTTGAGAGGTTTAAGATGGAGAAGGATCGGGGAATTGCCTTGACTCAAACCCAGCTTTTAGGACTCAAGATGAGCGGCACCGACATTAAGGCACTCGAAGATTTCCGTCAGAGATTCGACTTCGTGTACCAGGCCTTGGAAGTTTCCGAGAGACCGAGTGACCAAGCTATTAGGAGCACCCTTTTCGAGCAATTGAAAGGACATCCAAAAATGGCTTTGGTGATCGACCGTTTCAGGAACGCCAGTCCAAACAGCAGTAAAAGGACATGGCCTTGGCTTTACGCGAAGCTCGGGGAAATCATCGAGATTCATCAGCTAGATGAAAATGTCGTGTCGGTCGATCAGGTGTACACGCAATCCGCAACTAAGTCCCAAGCAGCACCAGCCAAGACAAAGGAAGGGAAAGACAAGAACGACAAGAAGAAGGCAGAGAAGAAGGGGGAAGCCCAAAAGGAGCAACCTTCATCCAGCCAGAAGCCCAAAGACTCCAAAGATCCGAAGCCTAAGAAGCGAATGCAGCACCCGCAAAGGGGAAAGGCAAGGGCGAGAGTAAGGGTGGTAAGGGTAAGAAGGGGGACACAACTCTTAAGGGCGCTCCTAGGCTAACGGATGAAGAGAAGAAGAAGCAGCCTTGCATGTACTTTGGGTATAATGCTTGCACCAAAGGTGATAAGTGCTTCTATCTGCATGATTCCAACAATCTCTATAAGGGACCCAAGCCAAAAGGGCTACAGACGTCATCGCCAGCAGGCGCAGCCTCCGTCAACGCAGGGGCAGCAAAGGTTTTCGCAGCCGCGTATGCCTTGAAAGGAACTGTTGCTGAAGCTAAGAAAGCAGCCAAGAAGTGCAAGAAGACCGCATTCTGCACTCCCGTGTTGTCGCAATGCATGAAAGCCGTGGCAACCATGATTGCATGCCTTAGCCAGCCAGTGCAGCAAGAGTTTCTGCTGGACACAGGTGCCGGTAGGAACTTAATCTCAAGCAAGAGTTTGCCGCAATCCTTCAGGGAGCATGTGCACGAGGCAAATGAGCCGATCGAATTCTGCACCGGTGGTGGCATCAGGCCCAGTGCTGAAGTGGTAGATCTCTCAGGGGAATTGTCAGGAACAAACACGTTCTACATGTTGAAGGATTGCCCTCATGCCTTGTCGGTAGGCCTTCAAGTGGAACAGCATGGCAGGCCATTTGTGTGGTTTCCAGGCCAACTCCCATACCTAATCAAAGCAGATCGGGTGAGTGATGTCGTACATCACGTTCCGGAGTCAGCCAGGATTTATGCCGATCGTGTGGAGCAAAACGTTCCAATCCTATCCGAAAGCGTGGCCGTTGCAGCACCAGATGCCGTGTCAGGAATGCCAGCAACAGGAGGAGAGCCTTCGTCCTCATCAAAAGGGGACACAAGTAGGCCGTCAGCGAGACCTCATGAATTGCTTGCGCCGGATGCAAAAGCATTTGAAGAAGCTCCGCCCACGCCTGGCCACCCTTCAGACCTACCGAGGTCAGTAAGGGGCGTGAAGCTCGACGACTCTTTGCCTCATTTTGGAGTTGAAGAGGAACTTCTCGCAGCAAGAAAGCCAGAAAAGGAACCTGGGGACGAGCCGCTAACCTCTGAAGATGAGGAGTGGACCCTCATTGCGTGAAAAGCTTCAACAAGAAGCTAAGTCCGAAAAGCATCAGTTGACGCACTTTCCTAAGAACAGGTACTGTGAGATTTGCAGGAGGGCTAAGATGACCGCAAAGGTTCACAGAAAAAGGGGTCTGGAAACAGATCCGGAGGAAACACCTCCTCTGCATTTTGGCCACAAACTCCGAGCAGACCATATGATCACGGGCTTGTCAAAAGGGTCAGATGGGGAAAGCTGTTGTTTGGTAGTCTTAGACGACTATTCAGGTGCGTTTGCCGCGTATCCGCAAACTAAGCGGGACACCGATAGCAACATCAGGTGTCTTCAGCACTTTGGAGGAACCAGAGCTCATGGTAAGGCACTGTGTCAGGTCAAAACCGACTGTGCAGAAGAGCTCAAGGTTGCCGTAGAGTACCTTGGGTGGCTTCCAGACCCTAGTGTTCCAAATGATCAGATCCACAATCCAGTCACGGAAAGGAAGATCAGGAGCATTAAGGAAGCCGCTAGAGCTGTTCAATTGAAATCTGGTTTACCTCACCAGTTTTGGCCAAGAAGTGTTGAGTACGTGTGCACCGCATTAGCCGTGTCAACAAATGCGGCAATCCATCCAAATGATTCGGATGATGTCAAAATCTCAAAAGCCACTCAAAATGCATATGAAGCCGCGCGCGGCGGTGACGCCTTCACAGGATTGAAGCTGCCGTTTGGTTGCCTGGTGTTTTACAAGCCGCCCAAGCATCGAGAGCTTCCGGACTTCGGACTTCGAGCCGAGGACATACCCCGGCATATTCGTTGGCTGGAGGATCGACGCAGGATACAAATTTAGGGGCATACACCTCGTCCTAGACTTTGAGTCGCTTCGCAAAAACACTCAAGGTTGTGGTAAGCCAATCCAAGTTTACGAAACAGAATTGGTCGAACCTTCAAATGGACATTGGGTTTTCCCTCTGTTTGAGGCAGAGCAACAAAGGATTCAGCTGTTCAGTGCGAAATCAACCCCACCATCTATTTCAGCCAGGAAGGCCCTGCCTTTTGACGATGAAGTCCCAGATCCTGTCCCTAGGAGAAACGAACCTATGTGACATTGGAGAGGGCCATCAAATTTGGTAGAACCCCGGGTTGCAAAGGGTGTGAAAGGATCTCGGAAGGAGTACCGCACTCCGATGCATGTCACGACAGATTCCGTGTTCTCCTCGAGGATGAGAGGCTGGCACAGGAGGCCAAGGCTAAGGCCCGGGAAGAGGCAGCAGCAAGGGGGATACCGATGCCTCCGACTCCTGCTTCGCGGGGTACACCGGTACCTCGTACTCCTGGATCAGGCCCAGCACCTTCAACACCAGTTCCGCCCACTCCAGCAGCAGTCATCACGCTAACCCAAAGGACCAGTGAAGCAACCGATGCTCCTGGTACCACCGCCATCGACTCTTGTCACAACTGTTCTTTTCAAGACTGTAAAAACAAAGGGCCAAGATCAGATGTCAAGGGGGCAAAGTCTTTGGTTGAGGGCAACTCCGAAACCAAGGATTATTGGGAGTTTGATGAAGCAAGGCACGCATGGGTACTAGTGCATTTAAGACCTAGGAAAAGGCTATTTGCACCAGCGGGTAAGGATTGTCCTTTCGACTCCAACGAGGTTGAGCCGGAACGCATCACCGAGTGGAGATGCAAGGGGAAGGTTTCCGTGCATAGGGACAACTGGCAAGAGACTCCGTATCAAAGGATGTCATCCAAAAGTTGGTTTGGTAAGACGTGGTTCTTTCCGAAAGGACGTGTGTCACCAGATCAAGCGCAACTGTGTGCAGCCGCAGCCAACCCTTCGGACGGTAATCTCAGAGCTATGCAAAGGTTCATTGAGCAAGCCGGTGACAGCCAAGCACGAACTAGGAAGGCCAAAGAAATCCTTGAACTCACTAAGGACTTGGTCAAGCCTGCGCGTGAGGACCGCAAAGGTCGATCGGCGAATCCGACACTCTTTGAGTTTTGTTGCGATGAGAACTCAACGTTGGGTCAAATCAACGAAGAAAGAGGAATCAACCATTTCCGACTCACAACAAAGAACTCTGACATGTCAAACCAGTGGGAAAATTTCAGTCTTTTGAAGGTCATAGAACAATTTTACCGGGTGTGACTTGTGGGGATCGATTCCTTGCGGCCCCTGGTCGCAATGGCAGAATGTAAATCTCCATCAGTACGGAAAACCGTTTGCTAAGAAACTCAAGAAAATGCGCAAGCATTCTAGAAAAAATTGGCAAACTACATTCGTTGTGCAGACAAAGTCCTCAGTCAAGGGGCCACGTTGCCTTCGAGTGGCCGAGGACATGTGCGGGATGGGACTTGCCAGAGCTAATCAGGTTTATCAAGAGGCATGACTTGTTCGTGGCGGAACCTCAAGGTTGCGCATTTGGACAGGTAAATGTCACCTCAAGACATGGAGAGTTGTTACCTCTTCATGGAGGTTGGCTAAAAACCTAGACGGTGCCAGATGCCAACATCCGCATGACTATAAGCATTCACCTCTAGCAGGCAGTAAGACACCTAGAAGTGCCTTTTACCCGATGCCTATGGCAAGGAGCATTTCTCAGTCCTTGTATCCTTGGAATGAGGCACCGCCTGCCTGTGCAAGTGTCAGCTGGTCCAAACTCCGCGCAAGTGTTCCTGTGTGGCGACCACGCCCCAGAAGACGAGGCAGGTCATCAGGAGCTGCCAGGAGTAGAGCATGTGTTTGCTGGAATCCACAAATTGTTGGAGAGAAAAGATTGGGGTAACTTTCCTGGAGCGCAAGACGCCATTGACAATGAAGTGAATGGGCTAGTAGCTAACGGAACCTGGACTTTCGATGAGGTAGTCTCAAAAGAGGACCTTTTGGCGAGATGTAAAAGGAACAAGGGGCATATCAACATTGCTTCCCTAATGACCATCTTGTCGATAAAGCATTGGGAAACCCTAGAACTCCGTAAACTCAAAGCTAGGATAGTTTTCCGAGGGGATCACATCCTCACTGAAGACAACAATCTTGCGGTGCTCCAAGAAGCAAAAGTCACTCCGACCGGAATGACCGGTGTCAACATCAATCTGGCATACGGCGCCATCAAGGATCACGAAACTCGTCAATCAGACGTAGTGAAGGCCTACACCCAAGCGTACCTTGGCACAAAGGTGCCCACATGGGTGATCTTGCCTTGGGAATTGACTCCTCCTGTAATACCGGCACTTCAAACAGCCGTGTGTAAGGTTGGTCAGGAGCCTTTATGGCCATCCCGAATCAGGATACCATTGGGATCAGAGGCTAAGGGAAGTAATGAAAGGTCAACATGTTGATGAATTTCCATCTTCATTTTGGTTTCCACAAAGGAAGCTACGTCGACGACATTCTGTGCTCGGGGCCGTCATCAGAACAAGACAAGTTTTGGCAGGAGATTGAAAAGCACTTGGAGATTGAACCTCCAACTCAGGTTGAACGCGTGCTGGGCAGACAGCACAAATTCGATCGAGCCAACGGATCGACCAAGGTTTCACTCGAAATGTTCGATTTCATCGAGAACGCATGTGCAGTGTACGAGGACTTGGCTCAATGTAAATTGAGCGCAGCCAAAAATCCTTTCTGCCCAGAAGGCAGCCTTACAACCACTGACTTTGAAAGTAAAGGGGTTTTGGCGCAAAATCTTGATGAAGATCCTCTGGTGCGCTAGGCTAAGCCGACCCGACCTAATGAAAGGTATAGGGGATTTGACACGTAGGATAACCACTTGGAGTCGAGCGGATGATAAACGGCTCCATAGGCTCATGTGCTACCTGTATGGGTCAAAAGGGTACACTTTACAAGGACATATAGGCGACCCGCCAGAACTGCTCAAGCTGTGCTTGTGCACAGATGCAGACCACTGTAGTGGCATCGAACATACAAAAAGCACGAGCGGCATGTTCTTGTCCATTGAGGGCCCTAACACCTTATGGCCAATCGCGTGGGGCAGCAAACGCCAAACCGCGACTGCCAGGAGCACAACAGCAGCGGAAATGATCTCGCTAGGATCAGGCCTTTTCAGCGAAGCACTGCCAGCACAAGGCTTCCTTGAGCTGATCTTTAACCGTCAGGTTACGCTTGAGTGCTTTCAGGACAACTCAGCTGTAATCCAAATCGTGGCTGCAGGCTATAGCCCCAAATTGCGACATCTCACGAAGACGGAGAAGATCGAACTAGGTTCAGCTTATGAGGTCTTCGAAGATCCAAGTTGCAGACTCCTGTACGTAGCAACGGACAAGCAGCGAGCAGATGTGTTCACGAAACCACTGCCGGTGTGCAAGTGGGACCATGCATTAAACCTATTAAACATGGCATCCTTAAGCTCAACTTGCAAAGTGCCACCTCGTGAAGCGGAAACGCTCCGAGACCCGCAGGCCAGATAGTTAAATAACTAAACTGGAGTCTGCGTAGGACACTTTCCGAGTATGAGAAGGGGGAGAAGAATGCCTCCTGCTGGAATCCACATTTTCCTGATGGTAGGTAGTGCATGCATGTCTAATTCAACCTTGCCACCGGAATTCATGTTTGCTTGAACTGCCCTTTGAATCAGGTTTCCAGGGTTGACACTGATAACAAACATTCAGTTCACCTTGGATTGCTTGAATGATTTGGCTCAAGACAAAACAGGTTGTGCGAGTGAAGCTTCCGGTGTCGCCATAGCACTTTTGGGCACACTCTTTACTTGACTTGTCTTGATTCGTTTTTCGTCTGTCAACCCCACAAAGGGTTCCATTGTTTTTTCTACCAAATGGGCAACTTGGAGCAGGCACCAGTGGATCGTTTCCATAGAGGGAAACTACAGTGGAATCACAAAGCCCATTTCGCACCACCTAGCAAAAACGCCCAAATGATTGGATTTCCTTACGTGAATATCAACAAATCATGGTTTCATTTCTTGGTGCGAGAAGCGAAATGGATTTCGCCCCGTCCATCCACATGGATCACACTGGAGAATACGCCCGAAAACGTGGAACCCCCAAAATGGTTGGTTTTCTTGGTTTCCCTTTAAGCCAACCCAGAAAAGGGGACCAACAGATGGGACCCTGGATGCTAATTGTGCATGTTCAAGGTTGGCATGTTCGCCTGTCACTCAAGGCTGTAAGCAAGAGTAGCTTGATCGAAACCACCTGAGCGGCGTCCAAAACCTCTGTGTACATGTGCCGTAAGAGTCGTGTCATATCGACCTGCACGTAAGCAAAAACTCCACGCGCGTAAGGTGGCGTAAGCTGGTGGCGTAAGCAAAATGATACGACGTAGCAAATCATGACACGTTTAGGACGTGGCTCACCTGCTTCGGACGTGCGGATGGTGCAGAATATGAGGATCCTCCCCTAAAACGCAACGGTTTCCTCAGATACATCCTACAATTGACCGACAGGTACCCTGACCTTTTTCAGGTTTTTGGGGGCGGATCCAAATCCTTTTTAAGACAACCCGTGTCTTTGGATCGTCGCCTTGGCAAAAGTGAGGAGGCGGAGGTGTGCGCGAGATCCTGCAGATGCTGAAGCGCAGCGATGGCTTCCAAGTACTGGGCGTCAGTTACTTTGGGAACGCGCCTCGGACGTTGCCTTGGAACAATGACTTTTCAAGTGGACCTATGTGTATAAATTACGGAACAAACGCAGACACCTAGTGGTACCCGCACCAAAGAGTCCAACTCAATAAAAACCATATTAAATCAGGCTTTAATCAGAACAAATAGCGGTGTCCATGGCCGACCTCACATGAGCTGTGTCATGGATTCGCAACGGCCAACAAAACGACCTTCCCGAAGGAGGGGGAAAGGGGTGGGGGGGTGGCAGGGAAGATTAGGTCCTATGTGGCGTGCGCGCGCGGGATGATTGTTTCCCCCAAAGTGGTACGCGCGCGGGGGGGGATGTTTCCCTCACTCATGACACACACACACACACATGCGCGCACACACACACACACACGCGCACGCAGGCACGCGCGCAAGCACGCACGCACGCACGCAAGCAAACACAAGCAGAGAGAGAGAGAGAGAGAAACTGAGAGCACAAAGGGCACTCAAACAGAGTGACAAGCAATACACACACACACACACCAAGTACACTAACACAAACAAAACACGTTTTTTCTTTTTAATTTTCGAATCATTCTAGAAACTCCCAAAGGGGCAGGGGACTGTTGGGGAATTCCGAAACAATTTCTTCTAGCTCATTGAAATTTCTACTTGTTCTATTTATTACCCAAGGGACGGGCGCGCTTTGGTATTCCAGATGCATTCTCCTAATTCCTACAGCTATTCTGATTATTACATATTTTTCACCAAGGGACGGGTGCCCTTTGGCGAATTCCAGATTCATTCTACGTGATTTTATATTTATTCGCAAAGGGGCGGGTGCATTTTGGGTCAATTGTGTTCGAGTTAGTCTACTTCTCATAACAATCATCATTCTCTGATGTATTCCCACAGGAGGGTACCTTTTGGGGAAATCAACATTCATGGTTGATCTAATTATTTTACTCATTCTAACAACTTGAGCAAATCTAAGGATTCTCGTTGTTTTCAAGCCATTTGGTGAAGTCCAGTGTGGTTTCCAGGTCATTCTGTTCTGATTATTCTGGTTGTAGCACGCATTCCCAACGGGACGGGGCCCCTTGTGGGGAATCCGCCCCTAATTATTTCCTTTGTTCTAGCTATTCCCAAGGAACGGGTGACTGGTGCCTTTTCGGAATTCCCAATTCCAGATTCATGCGTGTTTCAACTATAGTATTCCAACAAATCAACTTATTCATTTTAATCATTCCCAAAGGGGCGGGTGCGTCTTGTGGAATTCAAGATCCATGTTTGCCAGCTATTCTACTTATCATAACTATATTACTTGTTCTAATTATTAGAATTCTTCCCAAAGGGACGGGTTGCTTTTGGATAATTCCAGATCCATCTTTGTCGGGCGACACAGGCCCAATTCTTCCCTCTTACGTGGGGGGGCGGGCACCTGTGTTTCAAATAATGTTAGTGCTGTATTGCCGAGTTTAGATTTAGTATTGCCAGGACTTACTCTCAGATTCCCAGTCTAAATGTTGTATTGCCAGGACTTACTTGTAGATGTTCAGTACTTGGTTCAGTATTGCCTGGTCGAGTTGTTCCCGGCCAAAAAAAAACACTTGACATAACAACATCGTACCCAACCAGCGCTAACAGTGGGGGGGGGGTCGTGTTTAAGCCGAGGAAACTTGACATAATTCAGTGTACCGATATTAAGACCAGGTGCGACATTATCCCTCTCTGTTTGTCCGCGAGGGGGGGGGTTATGATGGCACCCCTCCCTAACAAAAATCAATATGACCCCTAAGAACGCAGGCATTTGGAGCTGGGGATATTGGCCCCGGTGTTGGTTCTTTTGCATCCTTCCCCTTGTTTCGAGTTTCACGCACCATTTCCTTGCGGAATTGCACTGGCATGAGCATATCATGCGCTGCTTGGGTTGCTTGAGTTTGTCAGGTAGTGACTGACACGAGGGCCCTTTTCCACAGTACCCTTTCAACCATGATTTAAGCAATAACCATGCAAACCCTTATCTGACAGGAGCACATCACAACGAAGATGCACATCAAAGTCTACAAGCCGCTCTGGCAAGAGCTCTTCGAGCAGATACGCCAGAAATGCGACCATGCCGTGTTCTTCATGGGCGGGTACTCGAAAAGGCGTCTCTGGAAAAAAACACCTCCCAGTCTCTACCAGGGTTTCCCAATTTTCCCACTGTTTCGCCTGTTGGGCCGATCTAAAGTGAGTTTACTTTCTTTTGGTGGAGTGATGTCCTTTGTCCTAGGTACAGCTCAAGTCCCAAATGCTCAAAGAGGCTGTTTGTCAGCTTGATCCCATGCCTGTCGGTTTTCTTGCAGAAGGGGGAGGACTAGGACCGCATTCCAGAGCTGCAGAAAATCCAAGCCTGTCCAGCTGACCACCTAAAATGTTGTACCTCATGTTGGTTGTGTTGTGTATGATACCAACTGAACCCAAATTGTTCGCCATGGGTTTCATTTTGTCACTTTCCGCGATTTGTGAACCTATTGGAAGATCCTGTTAGCCAATAGTTTCAAGCAATTGACTCTTTGGGCCTTAGGTACGGCTACGGGCCGGTCTATGACGATAATATGGGCACAATCCGCGAGTGGATCGCTGATGCGGGCCTCGCAGTTCGCACCGACTTCGACAAGGTGCGCGACTGGCCCTTGGGCGACGATTTGCATTTCGCCGCGTCGGTGAAGGACACAGTCGCCCACTCGTCCGGCGGGGGGGAAGCTGTTACTGGGGGGCTCCAAAGAACTAGTGTGGATGCGAAGTCGAAATCCGCTTCTCGAAGCGAAGCATGGCATTGTTTGTCCATCAGTATGTTCAACTTTTGGGTGGACGAAATATGGAACGGAATCAGAGTACCCCAGATGTGGGCTAAAGGTAAAGTAAACTGAAGGATTTGGCCCCCATTGGCTGGGGCGTTGTCGCGCTAGGCGCCACGGACACGCAGAAATGTAGGTTTTGCAGCCAAGAATTCTCGGGGGTCTGGCTGTTCAAAGACAATGGTCTCATCCTTTTAAGGGTTGTTGGAGCCCCCCTGGGAGTGGCAGAATTGGAGCCGGAGCGGGTTCAGTGGATTTGTCATGCTGGGATTTCCAGAGACACCCTAAAATTACCAGGAGGCAAAGAAAGACTCGCCCCCAAAGGTCGAAAGGAGGTAATAGATTCCGCATGAAGACTCCTTCCCAAAAACGAGAACCCCGCGTGTCAGGGAAACGGAACGAAGGAAAGGAGGCTGTTTCAACAGCCAAGCTTTTTGTTTCGTTGAATGAAAGCCATGGGGTCAACGCGTTCATTCATGTGTGCTTTTTGGGCGACTTGCGACGTCCAATCTTGCAAGGGTCCATATATGGCTTGGAATCAATGTGTTCATTGTGTGTAAATTCTTTCTTTGACCATTTTTCTCAGTTCACTGTGTGCCCTTTTGGCTTCCAATCTAGGACGATTTGGTGCGTTACTGGGCGGACCTGCTTTGGAACGCACCTCCCATCAGAGCGCATTGCAGCTACGAGCGCTTCGAGCCGTGGCAACCGCCGGCGAGCCCAGCGTGGCGGTGGAGCCGAAGGGCGCCGGCAAAGCCGGCAAAACGCATGGTAGCATGGCAACATGAGAAAAACAAATATAAATATATTTATGAATTTCAAATAAATCCTTCCTTATGCATCCTATTATCATAGTCAAATTATAAATATATTTAGAGGTGCTAATGACGACCCGAACAATGGATTCAATGGGATTTTAGATGTTGATATAGATATTTTAAGGACATATTTAATTTAGGTTAGTGTAGGTAGTATTTTGGCGAGCTTAAACTATTAATTATGGCATCGAAATATTGTTGGGATTAATAACTAAGAATTTATAATATCGAAATGCATTATACAATGTAGCAAATATTATTTGAAATATTATTTATAGAAATTATGTTTGAAAATTATTAAATACTTTAGAGCCTCCGGCTCAGTCCGCCGACATTGTCGTCTCCCTTTTCTCCTTCTTCCTCTCTTCCTTGTCTCCCGTGTGTGTTCTGTCGTCCTCTCTCCCTCCCTCTGCTCCCATCCTCCCCATCCCCCCAAGCCTCTCTCTCCCCAATCTCCCTCTCTCGTATGTATGCATGCATGTACATATGTATGCATGTATGTATGTATGTATGTATGTATGTATGTATGTAATGTATGTATGTATGTATGTATGTATGTATGTATGTATGTATGTATGTATGTTATGTAT